CCCCCTCCCCCCATTCTCAATCTGGCCATGGTCGATCGCGCCCCCTCCCCTCCATCCCTCCCAAACACACAGCCGCCCTTCGAAACAAGAAACAATCCAGATTCAAGATGCCCGCATACACCACCAACCAGCATCCGGCTTGCACCTGCCAGCTGCCTAATGGTCAATTGCAAGACATAGGCCGTCTGACTATGGTTAGTCTGACTCGAGGCACCCTCAACACAGCAGAGTAGGTAGGTAGGCAGAGGCAGAGCGGGTTGCATACCAGGTCATACGGCGGCTTGTGATTATATCACATCACGAGGAGTCATACTTGTACGGTAGTAGTAGTCTACCATAGTTGACGTTGACTATCCATCTCCCTACTGCCAGTACCAGTGCCCAGTGGGCCGCAGCCAGCAGCCCAACAGGTACCAGTCCAATCTAGTCCAGTGCTGTCTATGGTCAGGCTGTCACACTCACTCGATCGGTCATTCGAGGCTCAGGTCGGCCTGGTATTGGTGACCGACTCCTGCCTACTACTCCTTCCATTCCCCTCCCCCTCCACTCTACCCTTCTCTATTTCTATTCAAACATTCCCACTCTCACCCTCTTCTTCTTCTTCTTTCCTACTCCTCTTCCTTCCTTCCCCGCCCTCTGGAACGAGCATTCAATCAATTGCATTTCTTTCAACATTGCATATGCATGTTAGCATATTGCATACCTACCTCAATCCATCACAAAGCACTCCATCGCAAACTCGCATTGACTGATTTCCGGACACAACAAAGAACCGAATCTGACACCCCAGCTGACCAACCCGCAACTGTTCTGCGAACACCTTCGCCGCATCTCCAGCATTCGACAATCTCCGAACGGCGGGCGAAGAATCTTGACGAACATTCAGCAGGCGGAGTTAAACTTCGCTTTGTACTCCGAAAATTGCCACACTAGGCACACAGCAAAGGCGTGAACGCGCAACGCAAACGAAATATGAATGACAAATCGCAGCCTTCCACTGCCTTCGGTGACTCTTCATCGCCATCGACAATTCATTCCCATCCCCTCCCTTATTCCCCAGCCTCGTCTACTACATATTCATCAACATTCATCAATCCCATCGTCTCCAACATCAATCGCAACACCAACATGGAGCGCAACAACCCAATGGACATTAAGAACACTTTGATGTCTCCTCCTGAACCAATTCCGCAGGACAGCTTCTCGCAATCCCCGTCAAATGCCAAGACGAATGCTTATTCGATGTCGAAGGGCAAATTTCAACACCCACTCTCGCCACCTGTATCGCCAGCCTCGAGGAATGGTCTCCCCGACGATTTGAGTACCATAACCGTGCGAGACCCCATTCTCTTCCCAAATTCACAGCAAAGTGCTTCCTCATCGCAACCTCCTCTATTCCCCGACGATGATGTACAACGAGTGGTGGAGGAACATATACTGGCGAGAGGGCCTCTTCGGTCAGCTCCGCTCAAGGAAGAATATGAGCTCGTTTACGGAATCAAATCACAGACGATGAAACTCTTCGACAAGGACCCAAAACGCTGGCGACAGAGAGAACGCATACTATTGAGTGAGGAGGACGCGGCTAGGAAGTTGTTTCAACGAAGATACGCCCCAATCGCCCCTGCGTCTGGAAAGCCGTACAAGCCAAAACCTTCAGGACCTCGAAATAGTGGAGGTGTTACAAAGCCTGTTCGACAACAAAAGCCAAAGCCTGTTCGTGAGCGGGGAATGACTCCCGATGGCCCTAGAAAGGCCAAGAGCGATGACGAAGATTTCAACGCTCTCCAAGATCTCTGTCCACCTCTGACTAGCCTTCCAGCCAAGCACAATTCACTCAAGATTGACTGGAAGGGTCCACCAAAGGATCTGAGTCACGATCCTCACGTCGGACTTTTGCATCCCGACGAAGTCCAGCTCGCCTCCACCCTTCGATTGACCTGCGCAATGTATTTGACCTCGAAGCGCCGGATTTTCTTGAGGAAACTTGAGACCATCAGGATTGGCAAGGAGTTTAGAAAGACCGATGCTCAGCAGGCTTGTAAGATCGACGTCAACAAAGCCAGTAAACTTTGGTCGGCATTTCAGAAAGTGGGCTGGCTCGAGAATGCTTGGGTTGAGCAATGGTTGTGAAGGATAGATTGGCTCGGTGGGCTGGCCTCAGCGACACGACGAATTTGATAACGATATTTCTTATCTCGACCTCTCACATTGCATCGCGACGGGAATCTGGACTTTATATTTTTCATTTGTCACAGGCTGGGTTCATGATATTACAGTCTTCAGGATCAGGGTTAGCGTTACGGTTTTTGCTTGCATTTGCATCGGGTCAGCTTGATACCCAGAGCCCACCCAGCTCCACTCTCTTCCTCATGTGCACATGTTTTTCGCACGGGGAATTTGTTGACATTTAGCATTGGATGATGTCGGCGTTTATCTTATCTAGGTTTTTTGGGTCATGGAACTGGGCATTGGGACGGATTACAGATTGGATTAGGTGTTTGGTCTTGTTCACTTACGTGTGAACTTGACTTGACTTGAATGGCTTACATAGAGGTGCCTTCATAGAGGTGCCTACATACTAAGTGCGCGATATAAATTGAGATATTATTAATCTCTTCATTGTTGCTTCTTTGACTTTGTACGCATTATTTATCCATACCCATAAGTCCTTACCCATACTTGTTTGCAATTTTATTCGCGATCCATCGGTCGCCGCGTCTGCCCTTATTCTCGGTTTTTATTTACTTTCATGACCCTATCGTGAATGGTTAATTGATAGATTTACCCTCCAAGTTGGTGATGCTCTACACATGCTAACGCAGCGCTACCCCTTTGTCCTTCCCCACACTCGCTTCCGCTGGCGCCGGATAACAAGCCCCTGTTGATGCTTTTATAACTTACTAAATTTCTCAATTACTACCTAGGTAGTAAGAACACTTGGCGTAATACATCTGGCTTGTATATGTTCTGGACCTTTCATCTCTCTTCCCACCGTGTTCACAGTTTACAACCATGTCGTGGAGAGCCGGCCAGGCTAGGTGTTCACACATGACTTCCTCGCGAATATCTGGCAAGTGAGACTCTTTAGTACTTTGATTATAAAACGCATATTGAACGGCCTAATAGCTAGAGTAGCTACGCCCTTAGGTTTCCCGGTGTGGATGAGAAGTTGAAGGGTGATCCATCTGCTGTTCTTAAAGAGTGTGTGGGTGGCATGATTCGCTTCCGCCCCTTTCGGTCTGCTGCCATCGCCGACAACAATCATGGCTTGATATACCTTACGTCGATTTGAGTTCTTCTTTCTTTCTTCCTCCACGCCCTCTCCTTACACACCACGTTGCGCCCCCTCAAAATTCAACAAGCAACGCGGCAACACCACCACCACTACCGCCGCAATCATACCACCGCAATCATACCACCCGCAATTATGAGTGGCATGATGACTGCTGCAGCACCTAGTGCTCAGAATTTAACACAAGACCTCTCACCCATGATACCCTACTATAGTAACGGGTCGAGAAATGCCTATGGGTACGTCCAGCGAGAACCTCGACTCCTTCGAACACCTTTGCCACCAATCCACAACTCACCCAACCTTTCCGAGCCGAGCCGAGCCAACCGACTCCTCATATCCTTCCAGTCCGGGGCGGCCGCGAACCACGACGCTCTAGAGGTTCTAGGCCTTCTAGACACTCCAGACACTCGGGACCCTATGGACTCCGTTGACGACGTGGGCCCTCGGGTGCCCCACCTTGAGCATCATTAGACACTGAGCAAGGCTTCCAACAACATCAACGACAGCTGTTCCTTATCCGCGGGGACGTAGAGAATCACACTCAAGACGTCGCGGCTACTGAACACAACTTCGAACGAAATGAGCGACAGCCGGGCCGAGTCGACGCCCTCGCCGTTCAAACTGCAGATGTTCCTTCTCGCACTTTACTGAGATCCAACCGATGATCGTAGTCGAGGTACGTGGATTTACATCTCCCTCGATGGTTTGAACATGGCATGCCATCTATGGAGCCTCCTAACTTCCGAGGGTTCCAAGGGAAACTTCTCATTCTAGATTGAGGTGTCAAGGGATACTTCGCTCTTTAAAAGGTTTTTCAAGGGAAATACCTTTCGGAAAAGGTCTCAAGGGAGACCACTTTCCGAATTTCCTTCAGTCTTTTTGTACCTAAACAAATGAAAATCCGCATACTCATGCCTTGATCTTTCGTGCTGCCTAGAAATCTCAACTTGCTTCCCGTTCTTTCTCGTAGTTGCAGCTTGCCTACCTTAGCAATTCCTATCAAAGAGTTGATACACCTAACTTTATTCCTACTTTACTTGATACTATAATCAGTTGAAGTATTGGCTATCGCTCTATCTAGTGATTGAACAACTATTTCTGAGCCTAAGCATCCATCCATAGAGAGTCTATAGAAGTTAGATATAGATTGTTGATATGATATTATCTATAAGTTTAGTTGCCAGCGCTAGTCTCTCTACCTATGTCATTTTGCTAGGGTAAAAAAGGCAAAAGGCTACGCTAGGCGAGATAGAAGGATTTAATTAGCCTAAAAAAGTTATAGTAATAGAAGGGTAGAAGGGTCTCTACACATGTTATTAGCTATCTCTCCTTTACAGAGGGCACAATCGTACTTTCTCTTCTCTTCATTTACGGAATAAGTGCTATAGCATCTTCCCCCGTGGCCTTCTCTTACTTCTACTTAGATAAGAGGCAGGCATCCAATAGTCAACGCCTAGGCGCTTGCATAGGGCCGTGGGGGCCATAGTTGGTAGTACCTTGAAATAGCCATCGGCCTTCTCTAATGTCTGCGGATGTATAGCGATTAAATAGTACTTTCACCCTCTATTCCTAATTGGGAACTCCTAATAAATACAGCCCCTGGAAGCACAGCCTCAATAGGCTTGAAGCTCTGTCTGTAAGCACTACCCTAAACATGTTTTTCTTTCAATTTTAACAACACTTAACCGCTGTACCTCCGTATGGCTATTAGCTATTACTAAGGAGCTGAACTCTACCTTAATTTGAGGAGATTTCTAGGGATATAAGACAGCTAGGTAGGAGTCTTAGTCTTTTAAATTTATGCAATTCTTTTAAAAAATCGAAAGTTATTACTAGTATAATGCAAGGTTAGACAATTCAGATCCCTGCTAGCGTTATGTTACTTGACTGCTGGAACGCCTAGGCTAGCAGGCCTAGCCTAACCAGTACTGTTTTATTAATATAACCAGGCAGTCTCTATGGAAAAGCATTTTGTTCCTATCGCACCTCTCTTCGTTACATTATACTTGTACGACAGCGATAGTACCATGGCAGATCTATATAATATTCAAAACAAAGTAGGCAAAGGAGGCATTCGAAGAAAACCCGTAGCTCTTATGCCCGAAGATCCGCCTACCTCGACTGCATTAGAGCAATCCTCGCCTTTCTTGAAGCAGGTCTCGCCTGTAGTATTGGAGCAAGATGCAGACTTTCCTAAAAGCTGGCCGACAAGACCGGAGCTTGTCAAGTCTTCCACTATATCTATCATAACAGATATCTTTATCGATACTATCCTTCTCGGTCTATCGCTCGCGTTCTTCACATTTGGCCTCATAGTCCGCCACTATGATCAAGCACCAGTAGCACTACATGAGGGCACAGTTAAGACGTTACTAGAAGCAACCAAATACGTAGGCAATACGGATTCTACACATTTGATATCTACCTGGTAATTTACTAAAACATTCCTAGGGACCAAGTGTGTTTCCAATCCTGTTTGCGTGTGTGCTGGGTCGAGCTGCACAAGCCATTCTAGCATGGCGGCTGGAATCAGGAGAGCGAGTTGGCGTATGCGATCTACTCGCAAGCAGCACCTCGCTCACGAGCACCGTCACCTCGCAAATCAAACTACGCATGGTCAGCTTCCTTGGATTTGCGCTCATTCTCATTTGGTCACTGTCTCCAATCGGTGGTCAAGCCTCCTTCAGGCAACTTTCCATCGGTGCAAGAATCGATAATGAGCCCGCTTCGTTCACTTATATGATATTCGGTGGAAGAATGGAACAATATGATACCAGCGACCGTACAACATCGTTCGGGATTATCAATAATCTTTTTGCTACTGCGTTGATCTCGCCAACGACAACAAAACGTTCCCCAACCGATACTTGGGGAAATATTAAGATACCGATGATTGAGAACTACGAGAGCCTTGCTTTCCCAGATAGTGAGGGATGGTTCACTACTAACATGAGTCTCAACGTTTACTCATCTCTCGTCGGAATACCAATGTCTAGCATGGACAAAACATTCATTAACTATGAGATGAATATCGAAACGTCGTATTTCAACCTCAATTGCTCAAGTGTAGATGACACACTGAAGTCTCCAGTCACAAAATTGCCCCCTGGTAATTTCACAGGAAGTGGAGCCCAAATATGGTCAACTGATAACGACGCACAGAGGCATGACGCCGACGCAAACACTCTAGAGCCGCGTCAGATTGGATATCAATCCTGGTCTCCACCCGTGGTGGCATCTCAGTGTACCATGGAAATGACATACATTGAAGTGAAGATACACTGTGATTCTCCATCTAACTGCGCTGCTTCCAAGCTTCGCCGTTCTCAGCAACCACACTTACCTCCTGCCTACATCCTAATCGATCACGATTGGGCAGGCTGGAGCCAATTCGCCGCAAACTTAATTACTGCTTTTCCAGGCCACCCTACTTATACTACAGTAGCAACAAGCTATATAGTCGAACCTAATGACCCTCTAACATATGTAGAGGCGTTTACCCTACCTACGACGTCCAGTAAGCCATTGACGACGGAACTTTTCGAGCAGAGATTTGGCCAGCTACTTAACACCTACTGGACATGTTTGAACGAAATGCACGCAGTTATCAACGGCATGACGCCAACTACGGCATACATGCAAGGCACGAACCTGAGTGCGCAGGCTTCCCAGTTCTTTTATGCAAACTCATCAACTACCAACGGTACAAGGGATGCCACCACCCCTATCATGGAATGCAATGTAGGCTGGGTCATTGCTCTTTGTATTGCTTCCGCGGTGATGATCATTGCTAGCTTGCTCCATCCAATCATTCACTACTTTTACACCCGAGGGCCTGATCTAATGCTGAACATCTCCAGCTTGGCGATGAGGGACAATCCGTATGTTGCAGTCCCAGCCAATGGAACGTTCATGGCGGCATCAGATCGAGCTAGAATGCTGAAAAGCTTCAAGGTGCGATTTGGGGATGTCGATCAGACAAGTGATATTGGTAGGCTTGCAATTGGGTCTTTGGAACCTCCGGGGAAATACAGTGTAGGGACTGTAAGCAATCGGCGGCTGTATTATTAATAGGGAGGGTGATACCCACTCTCTTAAAGATATGTTTATTAAAAACCGTTCATTCTGCCCTTTCCTACTTCATCATCTTATCCTCTCCTACTCAGGATCGACACAGACGAGCGGACCTTTTGTTCAGCCCAGCTTTCGTTCTGGAGCGTCACCGACTTAAATTTGAAGTATAGCAGAAAAGCTAAGACTCGGATGATAAAGGCATATAGAGGCCATCTCAAATATTTGATTACTTGGCCCCATCTGATCCTCCAAAAACCGGGTTCTCAACGCAGTAATAACCATCTCAATGACTCCATAGCCTACAAGTGATTTCAAATCACTTTCTACTACTAGATATCTAATTTGAAATCACCTCTAATATATTACTGATTTCAGATTACCTTTTACTACTAGAATCCCGATTTCAAATGAAATGAGAATATTATTCACTTAATAAGATATTAGGCCGAACTATGCAACACGCCTTGCTTAAATATATAACTATTCCTATCACTGTCCTACTGTCCTACTATCTATCCGCAAGGTCTCACATAATACTATGGCACGCTTTACTAGACATGCCTAAGCCTTCTCCTTATCACCCTCTCCTTTAAAAAGATGTCACTAATCACACCATATTGTTAATGAGGCTCTTGCGTGCAATGCTCGAATTTAATCCAATAGCAATGCAAATACTTGCTGCAGGAGGGGATGCAGCCGGCGATAAGACATAGAGCAGAGCAGCCTCTAATTTGTTGAGAAACGACATGCCGCATACGCTGCCACTCTACCACTCAATCTGCCACTCCTCTACCCCTCTAATCTCTGCTCATCCACACCATTCGACTTGCTACACTCCTAGTCTCCTACCCCCCTACCTTTGCCTATAGTAGCAGTGCTATCTGCTGCACACCTCTCCCTCTTTCCGAGTCCCAAAAAGTTGGAGCGCAGCCTGATGTGAACCAGACCTCATGAATGCCTGATTACATCTGAAAATTTTTTAAGACGGTTCTGTCGCTGCCTACACCTACCAGAATTCTCTTGAGCAGATCTAGATATGGCCGTAGATCCAGTATCCGGCTCTGGAAGCGCTGGCTGCTATACATATTTCAGTGGGCAAAATGAGCCGGGGCTGTACCTAGTCCAACCGCTCCAGCCTACACTAACATATACTTGCGAGTAAGTATGGGAAACAACCATTCTGCCCGGGGGTTGTTCTCCGGGATCTTTCGCGTGAACTACTTCTGACTGCAGGTGGTCGAAATAGCATTTTTCTTCTCCATGGTATAAACGGCGGGGCTACAAAGACTTGGCAATGTCCAGAAGATGGACCTGGCCATACCTGGTTTCGAGACCATCTTCCTTCTCTTGTCAAGGATGAGATTCGGGGCACAAATGCCCGTATCTGGACTTTCGGGTATAATGCCAAAGTTTTATCCTCGGTATCATCTTCATTGGATCTAGGGGACTTTGTGCGGAGTCTCCTAGAGAGTGTTCGGCAAGTGCGAGTTGGATTTGAGGTAATCAACACCCGACCGCTTGATATACGGCGCGCGTAGTAACATCTGCTCAGAGTCACCGGATTATATGGATCGCTCATTCCATGGGAGGAATTGTTACCAAGATGGTAAACTCTACGGACAGTTCAACACATATCCATCGAACTGATCGAACCTGACAGTGTATGCTAACTTTTAAACTTCCTTGTAGGCATTGATCGAAGCGAAGCTTGACGCCTTGTATACGCCAATATTTGACGCAACCGTGGGTATCATATTTCTCGCAACTCCTCATAAAGGTTCTTCCGCCGCCAATTCTGGCTCTATTGTTGCCAGTGTTGCGCACTTAAGCATGATATTCAAACCCAACAAACGATTAATCCGAAGGCTAGAGCGCCATAATGACTTTTTGAGCGAAAAGTCGCACCAGTTTTCCAAAATATGCTCTAGAATTAAGATTTTCAGCTTCTACGAGACTTGCGAAACGAATCGCATAATGGTATCCTCACAAGTCCTGATCCCCAGACTCTGAGAGTTGCATAATTGACGAGTTGCAGGTCGTACCAAAGGATTCAGCTGTGATAGGTTTGAACAACGAGGTTTCCATGCCCCTTAACGGCGATCACCGGAGCATTGCCCAGATGCACAACTTCACTCGTGGAGATTGTCACCTGTTTCAGAAGGTTGTCTGCGAACTGATGGCTCAGACCGCGCCCGAGACTCGTAAGTTAACAATTAAAGTCACGGTGGTTCTGTATGAGCTTGTGAGCTCCTCATTAACTCTGTCCAATCTCTAGGTCCTTCTGATGGTCTGACGGAGGACGTCCCTGAAGGCTTCGTGCGTTGCGTGATAAATTCATACAATGGCTCTAAACAGATAACTGCTCTTTATCCAGAGCATACCACCATCGAGAAGCTGTGCGAGTCAGCAGTTCCGAGGAGATGGTATCGTCCAAATACCATTATAGGACTTCATAGGCCCTTTGATCACGAACAGATTCCATGGTACACGGATAGTATCCCGGCGGTAACGTCTAGTGGCCCCTCGACTTATGACTTTAACAATCTGAGAATCAACAAAGACGAGCCCGTCATAGTATTCTTCTCGAAAGTTCTCAGTGAATGTACGTTCTTATCAATACCAGCGCATGCGGCTCACGTTCATGCAGATTGTTCTGTGTCGGTCCATGAATCACAAGTTCGAAATAACGGAAAGCTGAAAGTAGAGCTCGGGGCATTCAAGAGAGATCAGTTGTCTCCAAGCCATAGCATGCCAAACTTCCCGTGCATACACGTTAGTGACAGCCTTGCAATATCTTTCCATCGAACAGTGCGGATTCCGGACGACGGAGGGAGCTACCCGGTACCCAATAGCCTCGGCGCGTTACCACTTTTGCCTGTCAGTAAAATAAAGGACAAACTTCCACAAAATGCAGTCCAGAAAGGGGGCATTGTCGTACCGTTGTATGGTACGTGTGTCCTCTAGTTGTTATTTGATTGCTCAGTTACGAACTGGCAAACTAAATTTTCTATTAGATATGGAGGCTATGAAAATAAACTTCCATGTATACGGCTCGGAAATGTTTGCGCCAGAAGCAAAATATGCCATTCGAATATTTATTGGTGGGGTTAATGGTCTATCCGGAGAACCTGTTAAAGCTAACATGGCAACTGTATTAAAGAGGCTGAATGGTATCGAGCGAACACAGGACTACCTCTACGTTCGCGGTGGCGACAACCCGGCACAGCAATGGCTGGATGGAGTGTCAATTGCTCCTGGCATCGTCAGACAATTCGTTGCTGCCCAGCCCTTATCACCAGAAACGATTGAACATCAAGTTACAGGCCTCGCAACAGTGGGAGGCATCCAAATCGAAATAATACCAGAACTACAGCTGGGACGATTCCAGCTGTTGCGCCGAGACCACCACCCATCAGATTTGCACTATTATGGCGAGCGTACCAGGGCAGAGTGGCAACGCCCGCAGAAATTTGAGTCCTCCTCAGACCTTGAAATCCCGTTGCAAACGCGTATACATGCTCGGGCACGTGGAGGGCCTTCTAGGAAGAGGACGCTTCTCGACGAACTGGATTGGGTAGAATCGTCCCAAAGGAAGCGGAGAACTGTAGAGTTTCAACTCTGGCCACCTCCTCCGTCAATAGCATTCCGAGTAACGGTCCGGTGTCTTTATCCACGCAAACGAGAACTGCGATTATCAGTCTTCCCGGAGACAACGCTAGGCTTTGTGGTAACTCAAGTAGCTCACGCGCTATGTCTACAACCAGAGATGTGGACCTTTAATATTCAGTCTTTAGATGGCCGGACGTTTTTCGACGACAGGACCACTTTACAGCGCGCGGATGTTAGACCAGGACAGGTATTACTTCTTGAGCGGGAAATGTTTATCGGAGGAGGAACGAAGTCAGATTATTCACCGCTCCTCGATGTTGGAGCGGGGGGGGAAATCAGGCAACGAATTGTGCCAGACGAAGAGGACCCTCGATCCTGGAACGTCAACGATGCTTGTCTCATCAATATCCAGATTGTGAATGCAGAGTCATTCAGAACAATGACTGGTTTGGAGCCACCACCGTGCCCGATTTCATTCGACGACTACTTGAAAAGAAGCATTCCCTTTACACCGAGCTGCTCTAAGGGACAAGCTGGGCTGAGCTTTGGGCTTGCTAGCATTAATCCGACCAAGAAAATGCTGCCACCTGCTAAGAGTGCTGGTATCGGAGGAACTCCCTCGAACCAAAAGATCCCTGGCTATTGCGACAAATGCGTGGTACACTGGGCGAGCTATCGGTGGGTCATTTTCAACTTATTCGGTGTTGCCCGGCGTGAACTCTCGGTGCATCGCTAATAGCTTCTCTCCTAGGCTACTTCCGTGTCGCCATCTAATATGTGCAAAATGCAATGTTGACTTTGCTCGGGATGACATAAACGGAGTCTTGGTGCACAAAGAGGATTGCACGGTTTGCTCCGTGCCCGTTGTGAGTATGGATTGGCTAAAACGAGAGCCTGTCGCTACCAGCCAAGTGACCGATGACCGAGACCCATTTAAGAGTGTTGTTTCCATCCAACCTCTGGTTAACGCATCAACGAACACTTTTAAAATCAATATGGAATCGGAAGAAGAGGGATATGAAAACCAGCCCAGTGGCTCTGAGTACGAGTATGAGGTGCCTGGTGCTTTCCAAGATTCCGACTCTGAAGATAGTGTCTTCTGTCCTTTGATGTAACTGAGTTGTACTACTCAAGATGGGGGGAAATACATCGTTCGGAATTCAGGATTTGAATTTTCTAAACTTTGACGGAATGATCGAAAGAACCAAAGAAATTGAGATACTAAATTCGGGATTAGAGCATGTTGCAAAGTAAGAGTAGAACGAGGCGGGCATGGAATTAGAGCTATAACCGGCGTTACGGCGGGATGCTGCATTGTTCAGAGACTTTGAAGTAAAGTGAGTCTAGACCTATCAAAACCGGTAGCAAAAGATCAGAATAGTAGAAGACAAAGTTGAAAACGAAAGCCGAGCTGTAACCGCACTAGTAAAAGCAAAATTTGCCTCTGGAAAGCACTTGTTCGAGGGGACGTTAGTGACATGATACTCGAATATCAAGGAGGAGATCGCTGGTCCGAGGCAAATTATTGACATTATATTCAGCTAGGAAAGGCCACGGGGAGCTCTTACGACGTTCATGAGACATATCTTTGAGAATATGGCCCTGGAGGAACAGTTCCGCAAAATTCATGCTGTGATATGTAAATCAAGGCGGTCAAGCAATTAGAGTTTTCCCAGACAGGTCAAGAGCACACACAGGAATAAAAGTGTCTTTTAGGAAATAAGAACAAACTTACAACCTTACCTTTCGCCCAAACCACCGGCCAGCGACACCTTCAACGCAGCCACGACCACAACCACGACCACGACGGCAACCATACTCCTCTCGCGACATAATTTCTGGTCAAGGGGACCCAGACGATCTCCACAACTATGAACATAGTCCTACTCCTCCCGTCATTGGCCAAAACGAACAGGCCTCCGAGGCCTCGAGATCTGGAGGCATCTCCAACGACATGTTGGCAGGTGACCTTGATAACAGAGATCGACTCAATGACAATGACGATGAGGCCATCATGAACCTCAAGTCATGACCGAAGCCGAAAGCCGCGCTCCTGACGTCGACGCGGAAGAAACAGTACAAGATCGAGTCCATAGAATATTTGAACAAAGTGTGACACCACGTGCGCCGTTGACATCGGCCCCAGCAAGTGACATTTCACACGCTGAACAACGACCAGGATGGTAGGTGGCGCCTGATATCGAGCCAGAGATCCGCCGTTACATTCGAGAAAACTTCCGGCCTTACAACGATATTGCAGGAATCACACAATGTGAGTAGGAGGCCCGCCTCCAACAGGTCACATTCGATACATGATGTGGACCAAGTGAATTGGGAAGACACCTCAATTGGAGAGAATTGAAGCTCCCTCAGCAGATGATCGAGGAGGAACGCCAAAGGGACATCCTTGATACGAACCGAGCTCACCAACAGCCTCCAAGGCATCGACGTGGCGGACAATACAGCCTGCCCATCAAACCCGGAGATCACGGAGAGGATTCTGCAAGCCAGATTAATTGGAATGATAATTTGGCGCTGCATGATCACCTTCGACGGCATCTGAACGTGGAGGATGAAGACGCGGCAAGCTTGGCAGGCTGGGCGACAGTACGACGACAGCGCCGCCACAACAAGGTAGAAGCGGAGAACGATGGGCAAGAACCTGAAGCTGAGAGCAACGAAGTCGAGGACCAAGGACTCGAAGACGAAGGAAGTGAAGTCGACTGGCGCGTAAAAGCCAGCGATGACCATGCCACGGCCTGGGACAATTCGGCCCCACGCCCTGAAACTACAGCAGATGATGCTGGGAGCGTGGCAAATCTTAACGTCCGTTCCAGTCATAGAACAAACCAACTCCCTCATCGTGACGATGAAGAAAGCATGGTCATGTGGAACGGGGCTCAATTTTACCCTCCGATAGGATCCCAAGAACGCCGCAATAGAAGTGTTGTGAACTGGCGCTCGGATCGACTACTACACCACCGCGCTCAAAACCCTCCACCCGACAGCAATATCGAAGCTACCCATAGCCACACGGAACTGCCAGTCAGATTGCGAGGGCAAGCTTACGTCAGAGACGAAGAGGATGAAGAAGCAGAGGCAGATACATTTCACTTTGATGATGATAATGCTTCGCGTGATGCGCATGCTTCCTCCAACAGTTGCTTCTACTGGCGATGCATTGGTGGGAATCGTCGAGACAAATGAGGAAAGATTGAAGATGGAACGGACTGGACTCGGAACCAGCAAGAGCATCAAGGGATCTCTAGGCTAGAACCTGCGCAGATGATCAAAGGATCTCTCCGCTTATTATGCTTGTCAAGGGACAGCATAATCATTGCTCTCAAGGGATGAGAGCAATGGCATTTGTGGCCAGTCCAGTAAGTTTGTAAAGATGTGGCTTGTCCACTGCTGATATGTGCCCCTGTGGCAATGATGTATGGATAGATGAAATTTATTCCTGTGTAAATCGAATTCCCCTTGTGAAGTAATAGTGACTGAATGATAATCTTGCCATTTGATTCCCATCAGAACCACTAATTGAACAAGCTGACGAACGGGAACAAAACAACGCAAGCCGATGAAGACAAGACTATGCAAGGAGCGCAAGATAGGACAAACTTGGAGACCTAACAAGGCTGGCTTGGTGTAGGGAGAGGAAAAAGAGGTTGCCTGACCTTGAGTGGTACTTTATAGCATTGGACTTATACTTAAAGCCTCATAGGGCCTCAGGTCTCTACTAGGCCAGCATTCAAAACGTTTCTCGGGCTTCTCAATAGAAACTTATTAAAGTAGATGTGGGAACAGGTTGGGTATCATTGTAATTGGCATGTAGGTAGGCAGCGGCTTAAACAGGCCTTCATTTGTAAATATCTGTCTGCATACTTTAAATACTTTCCCCGAGCATTATCTAACACCATCGTGATACGGTCATTCCGTCTCGGTGGCTTCAATCGAGCGATTGTGAGAGCATCCTGAACGTCTAGTCCGTTAGCTAAGTCTCAAATAAAACGACCCAACAAACAAAGTATACACAAAACAAGCCTCAGTTGAAAGATGAAAAGTCTCGAAATTTATCAGCATCAGACGCAAGGTCTTCAGCATTAGCATGGTATAGAATCATCATAAGCTCTCCTCTCCAAAACCAAATAAAGCACACACATACCAAGTTAATCCATCAACGTCGGCATCTAAAGATAGCGAATTCTGCAAATTATCCATCAGCGCCTATCCCAAGCATGTATGAAGTTCGGGATGTTGTAAAAAGGCGCCAGGAGACATCTCTTTCAGGTAATCGAACCAGTTTGTTCGTCATCGTTGATCGGTATTTGATAGTACAAGTTTTGTTCATCATATGAAATGTCTCCCCTTCTCTGCCGTTGGCTCTCGGGGTGGTACTCACAATCTATCTTGAATGATGTTAGCAGCTGCACAAGTCTCAAGCAAGCATGAAATATGTGCAGAGGGAAAATATCAGATAGTCCGTTTGGAAAGACAGGTATATCACCATTGGAACCCTCGAGGAGCTCGTTGGTAAGTTAGGGGCGACACGAAAGTTCATCATTGTAGGTTGTGAAGTGGAGGAAATTTGAGATTGGTACGTACTTGATTTTGCATCGCAACCGATCGCACTATGAAGAGTCGCAGCATGAATATAGCAATAAGGTAAAGTTAGTGGAAATAACTAGGGTAACAGTGTTGGGGATGCGTCGAAGAGATTTGGTTCTCTGATGTTTGTTCATGGAAGAAGTCAGTCTCAAGCTCGAGAAAATTATTTAGAAGCTATTCTTTTTTTCGCTAGAGTTAGTGCCACCCGTGACATCCCAATCCCTTTCCGGTCTAGTGGACTACGCCAGATGCTGCCGCAAAACCTCCTTATCTCATAGAAATATACATGAGACAGACATGTACAGTTGTATGAGCATAATAGCTGTAATTCTGGTTATTTTCAAGTTCTAGAGTAGTATTTGCAAAAGCCTACGACAAGTGCAGCCGCTTTTGCCTTGAAATCTAAATTCGTGCGATGAATGCTTAATTTCTTTTGCCTTTAATTATTGTACAACATAATTAGACAGGAGTAACTCATCTCACGATCTATCAACGTCCACTTTACAAAACCATAAGTGAAGAAAGTGTACAAAGATGGAATAAAATGCTCCGTGTAGTCTAATAGTAGCTAATCCATAGATGCTATAAACGCCCGATGTTGTGAGTATGCCAAGCAAAAACGACCTCCCGAACCCTCATGATGCGTGCCGAATCCTGTCTCAAAGGGACGACCCTGATAGATGCCAAGAACGAAACCAACATTCGGACGCCTTTTCCACTCCTCTTTTCAAGTAACATGCCATGCCATTTCCTTGTATTCCTTCCATGCCCAGAGTGTTGCTTGCTGCAATCATACAACTAACCGCGATCGTCAGGTGGTTACAAGCCTGCCAGCTTGCGCTATCGAAAGTCTTTATAGTTACGCCAGACGGAAATGACAGCATAACACGCCAGATGATGTTGAAGACACAAAAAACCACACATAACACCTAAACATGCCCTCACCATTTGCCAGATCTTGCTTTCAACTCCCACGATTTCTTCGACGCGAATGGGGAATCTCATGAACACCACGCTACAAGTATGTAAAATGCGAAATGCAATCCGATGCAACAACAAAGCCAACTCCTTTCGTGAACCCTAATGTAGAAGAAGAAAAAGAAAAATCAGATAAATATGCCATATACACCACTCAGCAAGATTGAAAGAGTGCAAGTGGTATCAGAAATCCCAGATGAAACCAGAACGCCATTCACAGTAATCAATGCAATATATGATCTACCTCCCCATCATATATGCAGGAGGAAATCCACTGTGCGCGCCATTCATCATCGCCGGTGGACCACCAGCAGTCATGGCATTTGCAAAAACCGGTCCATTCCACCCATTAGCACTTCCAGCAAAGGAAGCAGCTGCGTATTGACCATTCGCAGCAGCCATCGGATTCACAGCACCCCCATATCGCATGTTCCCCGATCCAAGACCAGGAGGAGCAGAAAGACCCGGAGGTGGACCATTCGCAGTACTAAAAGATGAGCCCTGCCCACCAAGCATAGCCCCGTTAATTCCCTGCATGACGCTTTGAGCACTTGAAGGAACCGGCGATGACATGCCTTGCCCTGATCGAACACCGAGAGGATTCTTTGAAAAGCTAAGTCGAATTCCACCCTTAATGCTGTTGTGGAGAGGATGGCCGTAAAGCTCATGAAGGGCCTTTGTAGCGAAGGAGACGTCTTCAAATTCGACAAAACACATAGGTCCGTTCTGTTTGGTTCTAAAGCACAAGCGCTTGTAACCACGTTGCTTTGAAAACATAGCCTTGAGCTCATCCTCGGATGTGTCGATCGGAAGATTTCCTACATACAGCGTGTTGCAGGGAGGATTCTGGTCAGCGGGATTAACCGGTGGGAAATTGTGACGCTGATAATGTTGGCTACCGAGCTGATAGTTGGCAGGAGGGCCTCCATTCGTCAAAGCTGTTGGAGACATGGGATTGGTGTTCGTAATCGATGACAGGGGCTGCTGAAAGGCCGAAAGTGGTGCTGTGCCCGCAGCGCTATTCGTATTCAGAGACAACCCGGCCATCCGAGAGAGCGGGATTTGAGGATTTGTCGGCCGGCGTCCTATTGAGGATCCATTCTCGGCATAGGCGACCGGGTCTTTGAGGAGTTCACCAGTCTCGTCATCATCAGCCGAATCATTGTTGATCAGTGACTTTCCCGTGACTCTGGTCCGTTCGTTCAGGTGATTGCCAATTGGAGACTGGGGAGAGAAGAGACTCTGATAATGAGCACTGACTTCTGGATTCGGCAACTCGTTACTGACGTAGGATCCGTTGTTCGTTGGAGATATTTTTTGATGTGACTGGAAAGTACCATTATATCTCGATGATTGACGAGGTGTGGGACCACCAGATGAGGCAGTGGACGACGTAGAGCTCGATGGACCAGGGTTAGAGGTATTGTCCGCTGTGTATCGTCGTGAAGTACTCGGGTTTCCGTAGTAAATCTCGACCATCATCTGCGCATCATTTGCAACGTTTGGCTTCCCGTCCAGCATGTTCCTCGCCTCGAGGGCACCTGCATGCGACTTGAAGCGTAAAATGGCGGCGCGGAATCCAACATCTTCGGATTTGTCTGGCGATAATACCTCGGCATCAACAAACTCCTTGGACCACACGACCATCAACCTCAGGGTCTCCTCGGTTGTATTAAGAGGCAGTCGACGGATGATTACGGAGGAGGGGGTTGTAGTAAATGCGCTCCCGGAGGGTTGGGGGGTGTCGTTGGCAAAGGCATTCATGGTGGTCATTGAAAGGGACTGGTATGTCTGCTGCGAACCATTGGAGGGACGAAAGGCCGGACCTGCTTGGGAGAAGGCAAGAGGGCTCATGGCATGCTGCGGTATGTACGAGCCTGCGCGTTCCGACTCCGATGCCGGTGGGAGTTGTGAGGAGTTTGAAGTAGAGGTTGATGTTGTGACTCCGGAGAGCTTGCGGGGCGCGTTCATGCCTTTGTGGAACAAAGACCGAGGATGGGAACTGTAGCAATGGCGTGCGTCAATGAAAGAATCGAGGGACGTGTTCGAGGTTGAGGGCTTCGGCGCGACGTGAGGAAGAACAGACGGGGAGGCGTCGCGGATGATACTTTCTGTATGTTGTGATAACGGCTCGGACGGGAGAGGTGATTAGAATTCTGACGATAAGGGAGGGCGCTGATGCTGTGATCAAATCTAGGATAGGAATTCAGTTCGGACTATGGAGGGTTCAGTCGCAATCGTTGCAGTAATCAGTCGCAGTCATTCGTGAGATGTGAGTTGTCGATCTCGTCGAAATGTCAGGAACCAGTAAATAAATGGCCGTGCGACCTGCGTCAGTGGGACTCCTTAGTTGCAGCGCAGGTCGAGTCCTGGGTTGGGGGTCGTTGGTGGTATGGTATGGTATTGTTTTGATGGTACAGTCCTGTAATTTTCGAAGGAGTGTCGGGAGGAGAGGATGAGAGAGTGAGGGAGGGAGAATGAGAGAGAGAGAGAGTGAGAGGTATGGAGAGTGAGGGTGATGAAGTCGGTCTTGGTGCACAGGTACAAGGAATCGGGATGTTTTCTCTCTCTCCAAAACTGTGGGTGGATGGGACGGTGGGGGGTGAGATTGAGCTTTGAGCCTTTGATCCAGGCGTTGGACGGCGCGCGCCGTTGTGATAGGCTGCTTCAGCTCTGGTACCGTACGGAGTAGGGGCACTACAGTGAATACTAGGGAGCTACTAGCAGCGAGGACTAGTAATTAGGGATTTTAGCATGCAACGCCGCGAACCTTTGATGTTCCACCTTTCGTTTACACTCTCTACCATTATTGGACTGCGCAAGGAGG